GCCCTCTTCCAGCCAGCCAGCGATCAGCGCGTCCCCGGCGGTCCCCTCGTAGGAGGACACGGCAAGGGCGTACCCTTCTGCTTCAGACCCTACCTGTATGATATACTCTGCATACACAGCATTTCCATCCCAGTCCTCTAACTCTACCCGAAGGAGAGTGCCATTCTGAGTCAGCAAGTGTATGTTTTCATTGCCCAGCCAGAACTCTCCTCGCCCTCTGCCATCCACGCTGCCGAAACCTCTCTTGTAGTCTTGCCAGGTCCGGTTAAAATTCACTGATCCATCCATTCTCTGTTGGATCAATAGCCATCCTCCCAAAGTGGTCTCTTGGTCGCAATAAACTGACAAAACCTTATTGGATCCCGCTGGCTTGATTTTGAAAATGCCACTTTTGACACCAAAAGTGTGTTTCTGGCGGATATCATCACAGTCTAAAAAAAAAAGTTGATCTGGTTTGACAGGAGTTATCAGCAAAATTTAATAAAAGGTTCAGAGGACTCCAAGTACCAATAGCTCTGAGGAAAATTGTTAAACATGTCTTGGACTACACTAGGTATAGTGACAGGCAACATTAAAAAGAATTCAGAAAAGAAAACTTTACATCTTAAATAGTGAATTGTCTTAATACCCGAGTATTAATGAAATATTTTCCTTTTTTCTTTCTGAGGTGGCAACAAACAGACACAGTGCTTGCATTTTATCATCACACTGTTGTACTGCAGTATCTAAAACCAATGTGTCAGTTTGGTTATGGATGGAGTTTGGCTCCACTACCTCAATAACTACTTCTGTGATGCCTGTGTACCTTTCCCAGTGTTGGCTGTCCTTTGCTTCACTCCTGACGGTCTGAAGCTGCGTGCCTGAAAGTCTGGGGTATCCTCTGCACTCTGATCATGTTGCACCCCACCTAGCTGCTCAGTTATTTCACGGGACTTTAGTGTTCTGGTTTCGAAAGTGGAGCCTCCCTTGTTGAAACTAGAAGAGGCGCTGGTCACTACAGTCTTGGAGTGACTTGCACTGCCAGATGGGAATCCAGATGGCCGAAGGTGAAGTCCTCCAAAGTCATCTTCTTCCGCCTCTCCTAAGTCTGTAAATTTGTCTTTCCCCCCATAAGTCCCTGAATGACTGGATACTCCAGTACTTAAGTGACTACTGCCTGTGCCAGTTACGTGGCTGCTAGTTGAAACGCTGCTAGATCCGGCAAAGTGCCTACCAGCAGTGGATGAAGAATCAGGGGTAAAAAATGGGTTTAGCTCAGGGAATAACCTCTCTAGGTCGTGGAAGCTATCTGTCCCACCAACATGGTACGTGCTCCCTTCCCGTCCAACACTTCCTGCTCCTTGTAAATAGGAGCAGTCTGAGCCATCAGAAGAACTCATTTTTTCAACTACTTCTTCTCTAGGGCCATCAGGGCCAGTGACAAATTTTGTGGTGGTAGTTTTGGTGCATCTACGAACAGTGGAGGTGGTTTTGTCTCCCTGACTAAGGGTTTCTCTCCCATGAGTAGGAGTAACTAATTTGCTGGTGTGTGAAGGTCCACCCCCCCTCGATTCTGCTATGTGATACAAGCTGTCGCCTCGGGAGGGGTTCGTGTCTGTTTCTGATCTTTCTAATACCACTTGCATCTGCTTGATGTTATTGATTATGTTCAGAGCTTGCATTTCTGGCAGAGGCTTATGCTTAAAATGCTCAGGAACATTCGAGTCCTTAAGTTGCTTCATTTTCAGTGTGCTCATGGTGATTGTTTGAAGCTCTGGGTGCAAGTTGATGGAGTTGGCTTGGGTAAGCTGCTTCTGGATGTTGTCGTAGCTTTCTTTGTCCACCTGGTAATCAAAACTTCTAGCACAGGTTCCTTTGCAAGCTCGTATCTTAATATCAATGTCCACCTACATAAACAGAGAGAAATAATTTGGTTAGGGAGCTTTCCTGACTTTATCAAGCAAGTGTATCCTTTAACTGGACTGGGGAAAGGTGGGAGCTCCCACCTACAGCTGAGCTTTTCCAAAGCTCAGTTTTGAAATCATCCCTGGGTTTGTTTCCACTGTAAATAGGACACGTGCAGTAGCACAGTGCACGAGCTCCGTGGAGAAGTACATTGTAGCACATTCCCAATCTCTGCTCCCTTTATTCTTGGGGCATAGGGGTATCTTCCTGGCTTTGGTGGGAGTGCTACAGAGCTGGGCGCACTCCCTGGGGACTGGGGCAGAAACACTTCTTCCAAGGAGAGGGGAAGATACTGGACTTGTCCCAGTGTCTGTCATGGCCCTGCTGTGAGGCCTGCCATCCTGGGGGTACCATTGCTTTCCCAAATGGTCCAAAAGCTGGATCTCTGATCCAGGGATCAAAATGGGCTTTTGAGCAAAAATGCTGTTTGTGCCAGAACTTTTCCTTGCATTACCATCAGAGGAATCAGCTGCAACCTGGGAACACGGGCTCTAATGCCAGCACTGGCTGTGGGCAGCGGTGGCAGCACTGGGGAAGGACAGGGCATGTCCTCCTCGTCCTAGCTGCTCAGCAACTCCTTACAGCAGGAGAAATGCCTCATACAGAGCCAGTTATCAGCAGATATAAAATCCTTGCTGCCTGTCTGAGAGCAGAAGTAGCACATGGGGCTAGGAGTCCTCCTGAGCTCACGCTGGTTCCCACACAGCAGGAGAAGAAAAACATGCCCAGAAAGCATCTCATTTGGGGGTTTGCCTCAGCCGGTCAGATCCTGTGAGAGTTGCATCATGTTTTCTTTCCAGAGGGAGCACTGCTCACCGTGTACGGTATAATGGATAGACCCTCTTTCTGTAGCTAAGCCCTGTAAAGAATGGCAATTACGTAGCAGCTACCTACCTCCAAGCGCTTCATCTCCACCACCTGTTCCTGGATGCTGCTCTGCAGAGCTTTAATTCTGTTTACTTGACTGACAACTCTCTGCTTTAATGTCACAATTCTCCGCCTCAGTTCTCCTGACACGTGATCGTAAGTCTCATCAATCTCTGAAACAGAAATGCATCAGTCACCTATGCATGTGTGATTTTCTTTCCTAAAAGAGTAGCATACTTTAAAATATGTAATTAAAACATGTAATTAAGAACATATTTCTCATAGTACTGAGCAGGTAAAAATTACATTAGTTTTTACTAGTTAGCAATTAAGAGTCTTGTATTACTATGTTCATTCTGGCCCTTGATAATAAGCATATATTTTCACTACATATTGCTTATGCACAAAAAAAAAAAAAATTCAGCAATGGATAATAAAACTGGATGCGAGATACTCACGCTGAGCACTGTCCAGGTTTGGTTTTAGTATATTTATGGTTTCCACAATTATCCGATTGGATTTTTTATAGTTGTTTTGATTTTCTGCAAGCAGCTTCTTGATTTTGTCTATTCTGTGACTATAATCCTGGTCCGTTTCATCAATCAGTCCCTGCATTCTGCAGCCTGATGGACATTTTGTACCCTAAGATTGGAAGAAGGAAATAATTGTGCTAAAATCTTCACGAGTAAACCTTCTTTTAACATTATGTTTGCAGACTTTCAGCCAACACTGAAAACACATTAAAAAAAATTAGGGCAAGATTCTGTTAGTTCTCTTCAGATGTCCTGTCCTATTCATCCAATGACTTCACCAAGGACTTGTGTGACTTAGAGCAAGCCACCTGGGGACTGATCCTTTACCTCCTATGCTTCTAACACCGGTGTGATGGAATCAGTGAAGCACATCCTCAGAAACCTGCCATAAAGGGGTGATCAGGTAAACCCTTAATTTTCCCTCTCCTCTGTTCTTCAGGGGTGAAATTATATATATTGTAATATATATATTATATATAAAAAATATATATATATCCCAAAGGACTGACCCTTAATTTTCCCTCTCCTCTGTTCTTCAGGGGTGAAATTATATATATTGTAATATATATATTATATATAAAATATATATATATATCCCAAAGGGCTGTTGTAAGGCAAAGTTTGTTGTCCAGTTTGAGCAAGAATGTCAGAGGCTAACTTGTTTAAGCAAAATTTTCCTTAGAAAAGCTTGATGTTCTTACAGACTAAAGCTCTTTGCCAAGATTTCATCAGATAAATGTAGCATAGAGATGGGCTGAGATGCAAGAGGTGAGAGGGAGACAAATTAACAGCTTATACACAGACATACAGTCAATCATTACGGATCTTTTACTGAACATTTTGTCATCAGACTTTCTGAAATGTAACTTGTGAAGAGTAAGTTATTTCTAGTTATTTCTTTTCTTCGTCTTACATCTTTCTTTCCCGTGCCTTTCTCTTACCAACTCCCAAAGTGGCAATATCAAAATTCTGAAAAGAAATCCTTCTTTTTTTTTTTTTCTAGGAATAGCCTTCTTTTGTTTCATCTTTCCCTTCCAGGCTTACTTTCTCTTGTGATTCTGCCCCCCTGCAAACTTCTCTTCTCCCTCTTTCTTTCTCCTCACTTTTTTCTTTCTTCCTTTCTTTCTTTCCCTCAGGAGATCTCTCCAGGCTGCCCCGACATGAAGCATTACTTGTCCTCCCTCAGACCTAAAGCCCAACCACGTGCTGGCTGCATGGCACCCGTCGTAGCGGTCCGGCTGATGTCCGTGAGCACCCTACTGACGGGCCCCGCTTTTGCCCCCAGAGCTCATTGCTCACCCAGTCATCGTCTGCACAGATGGGCCAGTTCTTCTCATACTGGCAGGTGGACTGGGACATGTGCTCCACAATCCTGGGACCACGCACTCCTGCACCCTGCTTTTCAAAGGTACTCTCTCCATCTTGTGCCTGCCAGGAGGAAAAAGGGGAAAAGCAAAACCGAGATTAACTAAACAGCTGCCAAGAGAACAGAGACACAATGCTGACATCCTCAAACACTCAGTGGCATAGCTGACGTGTGGCAATTACAGCCATCTGGAAAGCATCACACCAAACAGTGCAAGGATTTTATCCCTGACATTTCTTCTAAGATATGATTTTGTTTGTTTTGTCAGAATAAAGTTTTTCATCTCTTAAAATTAAGGCTGCTATGGAGGGATCTGGTGATGCTCAGTATATATTATGATAATATTATTCCACAGAAATCTTGTGTTCTGTGTATAAATATAAAATTAACTTGAAATTAGATTGAAACTGGTTAAATTAAAGCAAATACTTTAAAAATCCTATATTCTATTTCCACTTGCTGCAATATTCCTAAATTTCTACTTTCATTCTACCACCTTCAGCCTACACAATACTGGCTTAAAGATATATATCAATAGAGTTTTGCCATGACCGTTTCTGATTTTAATCACAGTTGCTAATTGTAAGCTTGTAGCACTGTTTAACCTGGCTTAAAGAGGAAGAAAGCTAATAACATCGTAATGAAAATAACAATGTCAGTGATGGATGGATTACACTGTGCTAATGGAAAGAGGAGAAATAAATATACTGAGATTTTCTTCAAACCTAGAAGAAAAAGTGCATATACACAAGCTGATTCTAAGCCAAAACACTGTAAGGATTCCTACTGTGTTATCGCTCAGTAAAGGACTGGAAAATAATTCTTTGTCATAAAAGAAAGCCCTGTTTTAGGGCTTGAGATGTAATTAGGTCTGACTGGATTCCTCTGCACACCTTAAGTTCTTTTCAAGCAGCATAAATAATGCTTGGAAAGATTAATGATTAATTATTATTATGACTAATGATTAATTCTGAGGCAGAGAAAGTTTTCCTAATTCTAGCCTCCAGTGCCAGAACCTCAGCCCTGGGGAACTGGAATGTCATTATTAAAATCAGCAGATTCATGCTGATTTGATTCATCCTGAGGATCTGGCCCAAGTGCCTCTTAAAAGTAACAGCTGAAAACTTTACTTTTAGGTGGTCTGTGCCCTCTCAGCATTGACAGCTCCAATGTGAGTGCTTCTGTTTTGTCACATCTGCTCCCTGTAATTTCTGTCATTTGTTAAAACATTCACATTCTTCAAAAAAAAGTCACAAAGAGAAATGGAAAGAATCTAATACAAGATTACGGGCTGAGACCTAAATAAGAAAAGAACAAGGTTATATTAGCATAGTTGAAAATCAAGTCTATCACTTTCCTTATCTAAAAATTGGTTCTTATTTAGCTCTAGTTTAACCTGATGTTGCTGCCACAGGAATCATTGTTTTTTAATGTGCATTTTATAAAAGTATTGTGCGTCATTTGTAGGTGGAAAATC